ATTTGTTAGTCTCTAAGGTGCCACAAGTCCTCCTGTTCTTCTTTTTAGTACAACAAGGCCCAACTTGGTTGTAGCCTTAAGGCACTACCACAATATGTATGTTTTTGCTCTAATTTTTAAAACTAAGTGAATCTCCACTTGCAAGGGACATATCTTGAGTCAACCAGTACCCAAAGCTGCAAATGAGCTACTCTCCAATTCCCAATTTAGCCATTTCCTGATCAAACCAGCTAAATACGCTGGAGAGCTAGGGGTTCATGGCAAAAAAAAAAAAAGGTGGTTACAGATACAAGACACATGTTTTCGGTCTGGCTATCCTTAGAGATTCCCTTAGATCACACTATGCAAACAGGAGACAAACTCCACACACGTACGCTAATGCAGAGGAAAATCCCACAAAACCCATTGCTATCAGCACCCCGCTGGTGAGCTCCACAGGGACCAGGCACGTTTCAGTGGCTGCGGAAAGGACAGTCAGTGCTCGGGAGCATATACACAGGAGCAATGCAGCGTTCAAACAACTAGGGCAGACTGGCTTCACAGCTGTGCACTGCACGCCTGATCGGGGGCTGGGCTCGGCATGGATTAGCAGCGCCGCTGGCTCCAGGGCTGCCCAGCTCGGGCGGCCGGAGAGATTCCCTGTGCACGGGCAGCTCGGAGCCAGGCGGGGATCGCCCGCTCAGCCTCACTCACCGGAGTCCTGCGCGTCCCCGGCCCCTTTCCGCGGGGGGCTGGCCGCTGGCAGCAGCAGTTGCCTCATTAGCTCGGGCAGCCTGTCCCACTGACACTCCGCCCGGCACCTCTCGATCTCCCCCTCCAGCTTCAGGTAAGAATGGGAGCCCTTCGCAGCCATTTTCGCCTTGGTGTCTCCGGTACAACAAGAGGGAAGTCCCAGGCTGGTAGTGCCTGGGGAACAGCAGGGCTCCCCTCCCTGCCTTGAGCATGTGCAGAGATCTCCGCGTGCATGTCGGGAAGTGAAGTTCTAGCTGCAAGCCTTCGCTTAAGCAGCTCCGCTGAGTTCCCACTGCGGGGAAACACCCTCGCGTTAAAGCTTCTGTGTTTGCCTGGGAACAGCTCATCGGTCAGCACCCCTTTCCTTCCCTTCCCTGGTCTGTCTGCTTTCCGCTCAACCACCCTACCAGGGCGCTCTCCGCTTCACTTACTTAGCACTTGGAACATAACAAGCGCTAGGTCTGACTATTATTTAACTCGGAGGCTGGCTCCTCTTCCTTCCCTTTTATTCCCCAAGTAAATCCCTGGACTCAAGAAAGGAGTGTGTGATAAAGGAGGAGTGAGCAGTGCTGAGAGAACAACCGCCGTCTGAGGGTCAATATCCTGAAATAACTAGGCATCTCCATAATAATGAGACAACTGAGGCAAAGAGAAGTGAATAATAATATTGCTTTGCACTTCTACTGTGCTTTGCATCCGAGGATTTCAGTGTCTTTAACAAACATCAATTTATTAAAGGCTGGCAACATCCCTGTGAGGTAAGTATGATATCAGCAACAGAGACAAAAAGATTAAGTGGCTTGTTCCTGATTGCACATCAAGTGCATGGCAGGGCACAGAATCCATCTCTCTCAACTTGCAAAGCTCTGCTTTGCTTGCTACACCCTACTCCTTCCTACCAGAACTCATCCATCAGACTCTGAGGTGAACTCTTTTTATTTCCTTTCACTGGTAATTCCTACTTGAAATCTTTGCATCCCTATTAGTAATCATTTAAAACATATCAGTTATCATCCAAAGCAAGTGTTATGTTATATAAACAGTAATGGTGCTGCTGCTAAATACATCCATCTTCTAGAAATCTAGTGCACGGTCTAAACTGTTTGTCTTCTCTAGGGTTACCATATTTTAAGTGTCCAAAAAGAGGACACTCCACGGGCCCCAGCCCCGCCCCAACTCTGCCCCTTCCCTGCCCCGCCAAACTCCGCCCCCTCCCCTGGATGCTTCGCCCCCTGCCCCTTCCCCTCCCCTGCTTCCCGCGAACATTTGATTTGCGGGAAGCCAGAAGCAGCAGGCAAGCTGGGGCGGGGGGGCGCGAGGACGCGCGGCCCTGGCCCCAGCGTCTCCTGCCCGGCTTGGCTCGGGCCCCGCACCGCTGGCCCCC